ATCTATCTATCTATCTATCTATCTATCTATCTATCTATCTATCTATCTATCTATCTATCTATCTATCGACCTACCTACCTACCTACCTACCTCACATTTGTGTGTGTGTGTGTGTTTTGTGTGTGCTTTACTAATTACTTGTTCATTTCCAGAATCAGTGCAGAGTGCTCTTTTTGACTGTTAAAGCCCTTAATAGTTTGGACCATCCTTCCTCCATAGGCTTTTTTCCAAAAAATCCTATTTAACTTACAGACAAGGTTTCTATGCAGAAGAAAGTCATCCTTCCTATGTTAATGAGAACTACTGAGATCATAGTAACTAACAGAGAGGTCTTCTCAGTGATGGAACCATATCTTTAACCTAACAATCTCATTACTACTTTCTTGCCAGATCAAATCCATCAAGTTTTCTCAAGTTTTGAATGCTTAGTTTTTAAGATACCTGATGCTCATTTTAAACTCTTCCTTTATTGATTAGCTAGGAACTCTATGGACATCACCATTTTAACTGTTATCTCTGTTATTTATATGTGGTTGCAAAAGTTGATCACTTTTATTAAGCTACCTCAAAACATACGTGACATCAAAAAATACTAATTCCAATATAAAAATCAGGGTACAAGCATGTGAAAGGACCAACATCACCTAGGGACCTATGTGGATAAGGAAACATTTCTGGCTCTACAGCTATCTTTGACTCATGCACAGATATGTAGATATAGATATAGATAGAAATATAGATAGAAACAGCACCAATTTATTGAAAATATTTACATCCACTTGTAAATATTTTACATGTGCCCAAAGACCCAAGCAGCTCTGGTTCCTTCTTTTTGGTCTTTCACTAGCAATTGAGCAATGTTCTGTAAGTAATACTGCATAAACACCACATCTGGGTTTCAACTGATTTAATCAGCAGATCAACCAACTAAACATTTAGTTGATTATTATGCTGTGGAATCCTTGGGGTTCTCTGAGCTTGGTTGTTTTTTTGCAAATGTTTCGTTACCTGGCTAGGTAATATCTTCAGTGCTAGAATGGAATCGGATTTGCTCTCTGTTTCTATACAGTGGCATGCCCTGCCAGTGTTGGTGGGGGTGGGGGGTGGGGGTTGTTTTGTTTTATTTTTTCCCCTTCTGGTAGTTCCTTGATTAGGGTATTGTTTACTGCTTGACTGTATGGTGATAATCTTGGTGTTAATCTCTGCTTATCTGGGTGATGATTGCTGGTGAGGAGATGTTATGCTCTTTTGTTTTTCTTTTTATGATCTTTTTTGAATAGTGTGTAGATGCTGTTTATCTGTACGTGGATAATCTTGGTGTTAATCTCTGCTTATCTGGGTGATGATTGCTGGTGAGGAGATGTTATGCTCTTTTGTTTTTCTTTTTATGATCTTTTTTGAATAGTGTGTAGATGCTGTTTATCTGTACGTGCCTGTTGATGGCTGCCTTGTCTGAATACCAAGCTTCCAGGAATTCCCTTGCATTTTTTGGATTTAGCTTGGTTTAAGATGCTGACAGTTTT